CAAGCGACTTGATGGCACATAACAACAACAAAGAGATATCTTTTCTATGTCTGGCATCTATAAAAAAGCTCTTTGTCAGCTTGGATGGCATTTTGCTGTTAGACAACTTGACGTGCAGTGACTTAAATACATAAAAAGTTTATATTCTTCACATAACATAATGCTCTGTGATGGGCAGTACAGGTCTGTAATAATAACTCAGTGATGCCAGCGGAGATCTAAACTCTTCCCATCCTTCTCCGTCACTATCCTGAGCCTGTAGCTTCCATCCTGTGGTTATAAGATTGCTGCCAGGCTTTCATTCATTGAAGGTTTTTTAGAGGCATAAAGTAGGGGAGTGAGTGCATGGACTTAGAGATCAAAGGGCTTTTCTGTAGAATCTTCTGTAGAACCTAGGTGAGATTCTCATCTAGCAACTTAATCGTCTTGGCTAGAACACTATCACACAGCTACCTCTAACTTCAAGAAAAATGGTTGGAGCTTTTAATTGCTTTTCCTTGTATTCCTTGTATGTTGCTTTTCTTAATGAAACTATGGTTCGAGATAGTAAGGAAGAAAGGGAGAATGCATGTTTGGTAGGCAACCACCAGTCTGCCACCGTCCTCAGATATGCCATCCTGTTCTTTGAGATGGTGAGAGGATATTTATGTGAGACAGATCAAGAAATCAAAAGATGGGGCTTTTTTGAAGAGCCCATAATTAACTATGAATGTTTCATTCTTCTGGGGGGGGGGGAGTGATTTTGTGATCTAAAAGCAAGCCAAATGTAGCATTAAATCTTGGAATGCTTGCAATTCAAGGCCATCAAGGTAGCAATTCATGTTAAATAGCTTTATTGCAGAAGATTCTTAGCCAATATGGAGGAGTAAGGAACACCTCAGAACAGATCAGTTTGGTTGGGACATTTCTTGGTAACTTTGGATGAGCCTTAAAAGCATGAGTTTATAAAGCCCAAATAAATATGCCCAAAAAATGCTAATTCTCTGCTTTATATTCAGCACTAAAAATATGGAAATTTTTTCTAACTCCAATCTTCTCAGTTCCACAGTTGTCTCAGTGCATTAGAATTATCTGGGAAGTGATTTCAAAAGTACTGATGCCAGAGCCTCTCTTACCTCAGATAGCCTGATTCTCTTGACCTGGGGTGGTCTCCTCAGTGAGGAGGCATGAAGATATACACTCAGCAGTGGCAGTGGGCCTGCCGGGAGAGGAGAGCATTGACAAGGATTTAGGTCTGTGCCGTCCTGTAGCTCTTCTTGAAGCTATGGAGGTGTCCGGTCTTACTGTCAGATAGGGTCCATGAGCTACATGTAGTTGTTGAGCACTTGACATGTGATTAGTCCAGCTGAAGAGCTTACATTTTTATTTCCTTGTACCCAATTTAAATGTAAATGTCCAAGTAAAATGTATGACCACTTTTTTGGACAGTGTAATTTATTTAGGAGGTAGAATTAATAAGCTCTGGTTTCTGCTAAGGTGAGAAAATAGGATTGGAGAAAGGGGGATAATGGAGCATAACCTTCACTAAGGGAGAAGACGGAACAGAGTTGGAGGGGTGGCTCGTAAGTCTTATGATAGGACTTCAGAAATGGCTCACACATGACACAAGCTCCATCCCATTTTAGGTGCTTATTCCAGGTTGGATTGTTTTAATGATACTTGGGTAAGCTCGCAGTTTGGCCATTGAAGTTGCCTAGTACAAACACAATCTGAATGTACATCTGAATAGAAACTTTTCTTCCTATCTTTGTTTTTTAAAAACAGGTATCAAATTGTAGTGGAAATAATCCAAGCGACTACAATTAGCAGCTGTCCCCAACTGAAGAGAAACAAAGGTAAGAAACGGTTTTGTTTTTGCAGATAAACATTTTTAATGTGTTACGTCTTCCCCTAGTCTTCTCCTCTCAAATGTCTGGCAAATACAAGCATTCTTCTGACTCATATTTTAAGTAGTTCAGATTTATTAAAGTAATACCATGCAGTGTTTCCTTGCACTGTTCTGATGACTGACTGCCTCCTGATCCAAGTATAGGTTTTGCATTGGCACAATCAAATGTTCTGGGATTCCCATTCTCTCCACAAACACCTTTGCATCATCAATGAAACACAGAGAGACATTCTTCTGGTACTCTGTGCTTTCAGCCAAGATCCATCTAACATCAGCTACAATATCCCAGCCTGGATTTCTGGTAGTTCTTCTGTTGATGTGCTGTTCCAGTCGTTTTTGAATAACCAGCAGCAGAATCTTGCTTGCATGTGATATTGTCAGTATTGTTCTATAGATTCCCTACTCGGTTGTATGGGAACAAATATAGATCTCTTCTAGTCAGTTGGCCAAGTGGTTGTCCTCCAGATTTCATGACACAGCTTGGTGAGCACATCTAGGGCAGCATTTGTTAGTTGAAATACGTCAGTTGGTATACCATCAATTCTTGGGCCCTTATTTTTTGCCAATTCCTCCAAATCAGTTTGAACTTTTTCCTTCACCATGGGCTCTTGCTCATATGTTGTTTCATGAGATTCTTCTGTGTCTGGCAATTCCTTTTGGTACAGTGACTCTGTATACTCTTTCCATTTTCTTTTAATACTTTCTGGATCATTTCATATTCTGCCCAAAGCATCCTTAAGATACCAACTTGAGGTTTGAATTTGTTCTTCAGTTCTTGAGAGAGTTAGGCCCTTTTTATTTTCTGACTCCAGCTCCTTGCACATTTCATTGTAATATTTTACTTTGTCTTCCCACGCTGCCTTTTGAAATCTTCTTTTCAGCTCTTTAACACGTTGCTGCAAATGTCGGCAAATGCATTTCTAAGCAGGGTGGTCAGTTTAAAGTGTTCGGCAATATATTAATTTTTAATGCTTCCTCTGCTTTGGCTTCTCGGCACTCTAGTGTAATATTCAGAGTCTCTTCTGACACCATTTTGGTTATTTCTTCTTCCTGTCTTCTTAATGACCGTTTGCATTCTTCCAGGATGATACTCTTGATATACTCCCACAACTCATCTGGTCTTCACTAATTGGTGTTCAAGGCCTCAATCCTATTTCCAAGATGGTTCTGAAATTGGGTGGGATAGACTCAAGGTCATATTTTGGTTCTGGTGGACTTGATTTAATTTTCCTCGACTTCAGCTTGAACTTGCATATGAATAGTTGGTTTATTCCACAATCAGCACCTGGCCTAGTTTTAACAGCTGACAGTAAGCTTCTCCAGCGGTTCTTTTCCACAGATGTAATCAATCTGATTCCTATGCATACCATCAGGTGAAATCCTTGTGTGTAATCTGCATTTATGTTTCTTATAAAACATATTTGCAATGAATAAATCATTGATTGTGCAAAATTCATTCTATCTCCAACTTCATTTCTGTCACCGAGTCCTTGTTTTCCAACTACTAATCCTTCTTCTCTGTTCCCAACTTTTGTGTTCCAGTTACCCATTATAATTAATGCATCTTGATTGCGTATTCGATCGATCTCTGACTAAAAGTTGGTAGAAATCTTCTGTTTCCTCTTCTGTGGGATGCATATATTTGAGTGATCGCAGTATTCTCTGGACTTCCTTGTATGCGTATGGATATTATTCTGTTGCTCACAATATTGTATTTCAAGACATATCTAGAAATGACTTTTTGGACTATGAAAGCATCCCCATTTTCCCTTGTCTTTTCATCTCCGGAGTAATAGATCATATGATCATCTGACTCAAAATGCCCCATGCCAATCCATCTCATCTCACCAATGCCTAGTATGTCAATATTTATGCGTTCCATTTCTTCTTTAACTAATTTTCCTACATTCATAGTTCTCACATTCCATGTTCAAATCATTAGTGTCTGCCTACAACTGTTCCTCTTCCTTTGTATTTACATACTTGAAAGCTCTGCCTCAGTTGCCCTATCTGTTAGTCTACATGTGTTCTGTTGTACATAGGATTTTCAGAGGCCTGCAGTTTTGGAAGTGGATGGCCAATCCTTCTTCCTAGTCTGTCTTAATCTGAATGCTCAGATTTATAGAAATATCTGACAGATACGCATTTTACGGAAAAATGCAGATAAAAGATATTTCCCCAATTGTGGTATTAACCATTAGTTTCAGTGTTGTCCTCGTCCTTGACACAAGTCTTTTGAACGTAAATATAACATCATCCTAACAAGAATCTGTTTTTATTTCTGTATTTCATTATGGATATTGACCATACATAATCATGATTTTTATAAAGTTATATTCATTAGGCTTAGACCGCTCCTGCTCTTTTTTTTTTAAAGGGAAGCATGATTTCATACTTTCTTTCTCATATTGGCATTAATAATATTTCTGTTTCTTAGTATGAATATTTTTGTTTGAAACATATGGTATATATCTAGTAGTTTAAATGTTAAAAGATAAAATGCGGTGGGTAGTGGTCAGAGAGTAGGGAATGCCAGTTCACCTACAAGGGAGACATGTTTTGCATTCAGATAGAGATCAGGGCAGGCCTTCTGAGATGATAACCTATGAGAGTTAAGACTTGAGGATCTGATGGTGTTGGAGAAGGACCTGTGCAAATACTATGAGAAAAAAACATGCAGGACTTATTTGAGGAGGTTGGAGCCGCTGAAAGGCTAGTAGTGTATGGGAGATGAATCAGACAGTGGCAAGGTCACTTAGGGCTTTTGTAAGTCAATGTAGAAACTCAAGCTTTTGCTCTGAATGTGGAAGAAAGGTGGAAGCTTTGAGGCTCTGCTCCTCACCATTTCTTCATTGTACTTTTTGAGAAGGTACTTTTCATGTCTTAAAAAAACCCCTAGGGATTTATTCTTTTATTTTTTGTAATATGAATAAAAGTTTATAGAGAAAATTGGTTCTTCATGAATAATTTGTATATATTTTATTTTATAACATTGATTAAAAATCCCATAATGTAACAGTACCCTTCTCAGTTCATTTTTTTGTTGACTATTAACACAGTGGAGGTTTATCAGTGGCTCATTTCCAACTACCAACAGTCAGTTTGGGGTTTTTTAAAAGGAAAAAGCACCCATTTAACATTTCTAGGCTAGCGTTTAATCCATGGAGACAGCAAAACATTGAAAAGAAATATTTGGAAGTTCTCATAATAGAGGCATTTGTTAAAACATCCATTCTTGCCTTCATTGAAATGGTTAGGTTCTGAGGGTCAAATTGTTATGCTTAAATTGACATTATGTAAAATTGGAAGACAACATCAGACCACACAATGGAGGATGACTACATTATTATTTAACTGCTAAATTTGTTATCACGTAACTGCCACACCAGTGTCAAGCATGGGCCCCCAAGTGGACACATAACTTCAACTATCACAATTGGTGTTCTTTCACCCTGCACCTCAGGATCTATTACTGTCAGGTACAGGCCATTAATATGTGAAATAGTTACATAGTAGATTTTAAAATTACTGTTATTAGTAATATTATTGGGTAATAAGATGAGTAATAAATGAAGAGTATCTCTAATTGTTGACAAACTGTTATCTCCAAGTCAAGTGTCTTTGCAAATCTGGTGTTCCCGATTACTAAGACAGAGTAGTATGTTATCAGTCTAACGTGATTTCCTCTAATTCATGGTGCCATCTGTTATCATACCTTTAATGCTTGTATAAAGGTGGTTTCAGTTTTAACTAGTTGTTATGAAGTAAATATAGTTTGGGATTTTTTTTTTTCTAGGAAAGATCAGGTTTATCATCTTCATTGTCCATCTTTTCTTGGTTACTGTTGTCAGACTAAGTGTTAAGGACTGTAGGAAGCAAATCTTGTTTCTCTGTGATCTTTGGATATCCTTCCCCCCAAGTTTTATTTTAAATTTATTTTGTTGCTGAGAGTTGTTGTTAAGTGCCGTCGAGTTGAGCACAACTCAAAGCGGTCCTATAAATAAGACATCTGAACCCTGTTCTATGACTATTATCATTTCTCTAAGTTCATAGAGTTTCCAGAGGATGTTGTTTAGGAAGTGGGTGCCATTCCTGCTTCCAAGCCTGTCTTAATTAGGAACTCCACCAAACACTGTTTACCGTAGGCAATGACCAAGGAGGATAGGAGGAGAATTGATGCCTTTGAGCTGTGGTGCTGGAGAAGAGTATTGAGACTACCATGGACTGCTAGGAAAACAAACAGATTTGTCCTGGAAAGGGTTA